CCTCCATCTGCCTCTCCTCCTACCTGATTTCCCGTGTCAGTCAGGGCATTCCTGTCTCTGTGGGCATCACCTCTTCAGCCACCTAACCTTGACAAGACATCAATCCTCCGCCAGCCCATGCAAGGTCCATTCAGTTATAGCTTCCTCCTCTTGGTCCCACTTGGGGACACAAACTCCATTTCACCCCTTCCTGTTTTTCTCAAGGGCTTGGCCTTCCCCAACCATCCCCCTCGTAGTCCCCTAATTCTCCTTTCTCTTTGTCCCAAAATCTGTCTTAGAACCTCCTGCAGAACTAAATCCCTAAATGAGCAGGCACCTGACCAGGAGAAGCCCAGCCGAATGAAAAGCACACCTCAGAGGGGATGGAGGTTGCTGATGTCTCCCTGTGGTCCTCACTGGACCCCCGGCCCTGCTCTGTCCTCCTCAGCAGCCTTATCAGAGTTTGTGGAGTCTCACATGTTCAGAAAGGCACACGATTTCCATAATTCAGGCCCTTCTGTGAAGGTTCTGTCCCACTTGGGGACACAACCCATTTCACCCTTCCTGTTTTTTCTGCTGTCATCTTCCCCCAACCATCCCCCAGGGTTGCCTTCTACTTCTCCTTGCCCCAAAATCTGTCTTAGAACTTCCTGCAGAACTAAATCTCTAATGAGCAGCACTGACCAGGAGAAGCCCAGCTGGAATGAAAAGACTCCCAGCACAGGGATGGGAGGTTGCAGGATGGCCCCGCAGTGGTCCTACTGGACTCCCAGGCCCTGCTCTGTCCCCATACCCTCAGCAGCCTCATCAGAGTTTGTGGAGTCCTTTCTGCCATGCTCCAGAAAGGCACAGATTTCCATAATCTGTGTGTCCTCCTCTGTGAAGGTTTGTGACCGCTCAGCAAGTTCCTGTTCACACTCATCACCCAGAGCCAGCCTGCACCCTAGAAGCCCCCTGTGGGGGCAGATTCCCTGCTCTCTGTTCCTAGTATCTTGTCATCAGCTCCACCGGGATTCCTAGAGTGTCCTGGGTCAAGATTGCTCCTGTCCTTCCCACAATAGCCCCTCCCAAGGAAGAACCCGGTTCAGGGAGAGTGCACCAGGACTGCATCTCCATCCTTCTCTGAAGGGTCTGTCTCACATGGTGGAAGCACAAACATCAGGGACGCAGGTAAAGGAGAGCATTGGGAGCAGTGGGAAAGAACAAGAAAGTGGGAAAGAATGAGACGTTTGCCCGGAAAGCAGCAGGGGCTGCTGTGTGATCATGTCTAAGGGTTTCT